CGCTTTTTTTTTTTTTTTAATTGCATAACTAGATAATAGAGTAATACAATTATTTATAAACTATTTTAATTTAGCAAAATGCACTTAAATTAAGAGTTGTTTTATTAGGTCATTGTTCTGATGACACCGACGATAATGATTCTTGAGGTAGCAATTAGTAATGTAATGTATATTCGAATAGTTCTATCGTAAATAATTCGAATATTCGAATATTGATATTTTTTTTATCCGTTTTTCCATGTCAAGCTTTTTATACTATTTATTAAAAACACTGAGCAGAGCAAGAGCAATAAAGATTGATTAAAAAATATGATATTATGGAAGTGGGTAGTTCAATAAACTAAACTTCACGTGTAAAATAAGTAAAATATAGTCATTATTATATTACAATGATTGTAGACCGTAGTTCTTAAAACGCCTAAGTGCTGTTAGTCCGTATGCAATAAATCTGAAAGGTAGCAGACCGTTTGGTAAAAAAATAAGTAAAGTTCGCAAACGGGCTACCCCATTGCAAAGACTAAAGAGCCTATAGTCTTTTCAAAAAAAGAAAATTTTTTCAAATGGCTTATGACATATATATATATATAATTATTTTGTTTTGTACTATTAGTCTGTAACTATGGTTCCTAATTTGAATATATCAAAAATATCTAATAACAATCATTACCATAGCTAATTTGGTTGTTGTCGTGACCTATGGTCGACGATTAACCAAAAAAAAGGAAAGATGTCGATTTACTCGCGGAAATACGCCAACGGCGTTTCCTAGTTTATTACAAAAAAATTGAGAAACGTATTACAATGACGTGGAGTACGCGACGGCGCAAAACGAACGACGATAGAGAGATTGATTATAACGAGCGGGGCCTTGTCGCATAAAGTGGAGATGGAAATCACGAGACGGCCACTGCGCTGCCGCGTTAACAATAAAATATAAAAATAATAGTAATAAATAATGATAGAGGTGGCAGACGCCACACTACCTCCCCCTTGGTAAAAAGAAACGAACTTGTTTCAGTCGTTGTTGAAAATTGATGCTGTGTGTTTTGATCTCCGAGAGAGTGGATGCATAAGAGTGGTCCGCGATCGGGTCTTCTCTAAGTAGTAAAGCGGGCTTGAGGCGGTCTATTGATATCCGGCTGGTCCAGTTATGGAGTTGAAGCTTAAAAGTTTTGTCTTTGCGTTCTAACACCGCGAATGGACCGTCGTAACGCGGTTGGAGGGGTTTCCGCGTCGCGTCGATTCGAAGAAAAACGTGTGTCGTGGTAGAGAGCTGCTCCGGCACGAAGATTGCGTGTTTGGAATGATCCGTACCCGGAGTTGGGCGAATCATTAACATAGATTCTTTAAGTGCGCAGATTAAGTCTGGAGTTCGCGGTTCTGGCTGTACGGAATGAAAAAACTCACCCGGTAAACGTAGAGTTGTACCATACACCATCTCTGCAGGAGAACAACCTAAATCCGGCTTGACGATGCTTCGCAACACGAGTAATACAGTCGGCAAACTTCTGGTCCAAAAAGGATTATTGTGAGCGGCCAGTGCGGCTTTCAACGGACGATGAAGACGTTCCACCAGGCCATACGCCTGGGGGTGGTAAGGCGAAGTTCGGATGTGTTGGAAACCATAAGTTTGACTGAGTGCAGTGCATAGCTCTGACTCAAACTGTCTACYCTGGTCTGTTGTAATGATGTAAGGAACTCCAAATCGCGAAAACCACTGCGAAACCATTTTTTCGGCAACGGCATGGGCTGACATGTTTGCTAATGGGTAAGCTTCTGGCCAATGCGTATACCTGTCAATTGTCGTAAGAATGTACTTGCAACCGTCGGCAGAATGTAACGGTCCGACCAAGTCGACGTGCCGAAACGTCGGTCCGGTGTTGAAAAAGGCATTGTCGGTGATACCACGTGACGGCGAACTTTGGTCCGTTGACAAACAGTGCAGTGTTTGGTCCAATTGCGAACCTAACCGATCCATGTCCGGCCAACAATGACGCTTCTTGACCAACGAGAGGGTGGCCTTGATGCCGGGATGCGCCTGATTGTGCAGGATGTCGAAAATGCGACGTCGAAGTGTCACGGGGACGTACGTACGTGACCTGCCGGTTGTCGAAGTGTCGAAATAGACCAGTCCTGAACCAGTATCGCGTGCTTCTAAACGTAAAGAGCTGACCAACGTGGCGTTAAGTATGCGTTGGAGTTCCGGGTCTTCGTCTTGGTCCTTAGACAATGTCATGAAATCCGGAAGTTGTGCATGGAGAGTGACGGTCTCAAGTCGGGAGAGTGCGTCTGTAATTAAATTTGTGTCACCCTGTATGTGGTGAACTTGTTGCACGAACTGTGCGATGAAACTGATATGGCGCAGCTGTATATCGCTGTACTTGTCGGTTTTAACTGTAAATGGGTGAGCGGTTTATGATCTGTGAGTAAAACAGCGTGTCTACCTTCGATGAGATGCAAGAAATGTCTGGTTGCTGCATAAGCGGCGAACAACTCTCGGTCAAAAGTACTATAGCGAATCTGTGTGAGCGTTAGCTTTCTGGAGAAAAATCCAAGAGGTTCCCAAGAGTCATCACGTGCCTGTTCCAGCACTACACCTATAGCCGTACTAGATGCGTCTGTACAGAGTCGTAGTTGGGCGTTCGGTTTTGGGTGTAACAAATGCAACGAGTTGCCGAGAGCGTCTCGAGATTTAACAAAAGCGTCGCGGGTCTCGGGTGTCCAAATTAGTTTTCCGTCTTTCTTCTTGATCGACGCGTCGAGTTCGAACAACGGGGATTGCAATCGTGCAGCGTTAGGTATAAACCTGTGGTAATAATTCCCTGAACCCAGGAAACGTTGTAGTCCTTTTTTCGAAGATGGAAGAGACCAATTTTGGATTTCGCTTATCCGTTCAGGCAGCGGGCTGCAACCGGTGCCGTTAACGATGTGGCCGAGAAAAATTAATTGTTGTGCGCCGAAAATGCATTTATTGACATTAATTGCGACATTGAATTTTCGAAATCGTTCAAGTACTGAACGTAAATGCGCTTCGTGTTCGGACTCTGTGCTTGACGCAATCAACACATCGTCAATATAAGCAAAAACAAAATCCAAGCCACGAAGAATGTTGTTGATGAAACGTTGGAAAGTTTGTGCTGCATTTTTCAAACCGAAACACATGACCGTAAATTCATAAAGGCTGAAAGGCGTTGTCACAGCGGTCTTTGCGATATCCTCGCGTGTGACAGGAATCTGGTGGTAAGCATGTACCAAATCTAGCTTAGAAAATATCGTCTTACCGTAGAGATTGCTGGTGAAATCATGTATATGTGGAAGCGGGTACCGGTCGGGTTTAGTGACGGCATTCAACCTTCGATTATCTCCACGTGGGTGAAATGAACCGTCTTTCTTGACGACGAGTAATAACGGGCTAGACCACGTACTATCCGATGGTCGACAAATCCCTGTGCGAAGCATGAAATCGAATTCTTTTCGGGTGATAACGAAACGATCGGGTGCGAGGCGACGCGGACGCGAGAACAACGGTGGTCCGGTTAGGTTAAACAACGTGTTCGACATTGTGCGCGAAAGCTGTGGGCACGGGCGATTCGCGTGTGATTTCCGGATAGTCGGCAATCAACTTGGTCCATGTACGTGGCTGGGAGACCACGCAAATGGTTTGCGAAACCGTGTTCGTGTTAATGATCTTTGATGCCAGTCCGGAATTCGAGTCAACTAGACGGTTACGGCGGACGTCGACTAATAGACCGTAGTAATGTAGAAAATCTGCTCCAATTATGCCCCTGTTAACATCAGCGATCTCAAAAGTCCAGGTGAACGGTCTAGTTAGTCCCAAGTCGAGATTCAGTGTTTTTCGTCCGTAGGTTTGAATGCGCGTGCCATTAGCAGCGGTAAGCGTAATTTCGGAAGTGGGTCGTTGACCGGCAGATGGCGTTAGAACTGATATGTCGGCTACAGAGTCGATAAGAAAACGCCGGCCGGAACGCATATCTGTGACGAATAAACGGCAGCTGTGATTAGCAGCGGAAGACTGGTTCGCTTCCACCGCGCCAATCAGTTTTCCGACGATTTGAAAGCACACGGTGATCTACATTTCTGGCTGACACACCGAAACGATCGTGATAGTAACACAAATTGTTGTTACCAGAACGAGATTTTGACCGTGATCTCGAACGACCATGTTGACGTTTGTTAGATTGCAGTGTGACCAAATTTGCAATTTGGGTGGTGAGTGCCGGGATCGCATTCTCCATCGCGCGGAATCGGTCGGTTGACACTTCAGTCTTGTTTACGGCATGGACATCGGAAGAATATGAGGTGGCCTCCATAACCCGATCCGCTCGTGCTGCGAAACTTACTTAGACACTCCTGACCGGAGATTATTGTGCTGGTCGTGGATGGAAATTTCTGCAACCAAAATTGTTTGAGAGCGTTCTCGCCGATCCCATCCGGTAGGATGTTGCGCATATCGCGGAGTAGTTGGGTTGGACGCCGAAAACGTGTGGATTGCGGTACTGCAAAAGTAGCAATAAGGCATTGTTTAAGGCTCTCAAAACAAACATTCGGGCCGATAAGATCGCAGACAGATCTGACGCCTTCTTCGTCCAACGCGGCAACCACGTGGTTGGCTTTGGAGACGTCGGACCGCAATCTGTTATTGGTGAAAACGGCTTCGGCATGTAAAAACCACTCGCGTGGTGAGTGTCGCCAGAACAATGGAAGACGCACGTGCGCGATACTTTCGGTAGACACGTTTACGTTCGACGCGGGCATTACACTGAGAGGCGGGTTTGAATTATCGTTTAACTAAGATGCGTTGTCTTCTTCGAGCGAGAGGAGATCACGATTCTCACTTCCGGCGTGCATAATGCGATGTAAAACGAAAAACGATGTTTTCGAATTGAAAAATAAAACGGTTAAGCGTTCACGACAGTTGCGCCGCGTGTTCGACACGTGTACAAGATCACTAATTTGGTTGTTGTCGTGACCCATGGTCGACGATTAACCAAAAAAAAGGAAAGATGTCGATTTACTCTTGAAAATACGGTAACGGCGTTTCCTAGTTTAATAAAACACAATTTTAATTTATTAAAATGATTACAAAACAATAGAGAAACGTATTACAACGACGTGGAGTACGCGACGGCGCAAAACGAACGACGATAGACTGATTATGATGGGCGGGGCTTTGTCGCATAAAGTGGAGATGGAAATCACGAGACGGTCGCTGCACTGCCGCGTTAACAATAAAATATAAAAATAATAGTAATAAATAATGATAGAGGTGATAGACGCCACACTAATTATGATTATTAGCTATGCCGGGCTATGTGTACGATGAAGTTCACAAATCCAATTATATAAGCTTCATCATATTGTTATCAACTATTAGAATGTCAATTTAATATTAACTATTACCATTTAGTAGTATAAATATAGTTAGTACTGAATAATATAACTAAATAATATTTAGTAATTTTTTGTGAGAAAAACATTTTCGTTTTATAATTTCTTCCTGCTAAAATACTTTTCTTTTCAAAATATGTTTTGAACCCATTAAAATAAAAATATTTCTGGCATAAAGATGGGCCTCAATTATCAATGGGTGCCAGRACCCCTGACACGCTTTAATCCGAGTTTGGTTTCTACATCAAAGCTGCATAGCTTCACAAACTTTTTCATTTACTTATTACTTATTATATACTAGCTGAACCCGTGTATTTCGTAGCCCGTTAAAAATCCTACCTCTTTTATGGTCCAAAACGCCTAATTGTGTGTTAAATTCGTTTTATGTAATGATACTAGCAAGTATATTTTTATACATATAGATAGATAACGGTTAAAATACATTAAGCAATAATTTTACAACGATATTCAATTTCGTATGTCATTATATGATCTTCTTCGTGATATCAATATAATTCTGACAATTCAAACATCCAATTGAATGATATTTAGGCTCATCACTTTCTAACTTAGCCTATTTTTTCCCCATAGGTCTAATAAAACTCTGTACCAAATTTCGTTGCAATAGATCTAGCCGTTTAGGAATGTATATAGGACAAATATATACAGGGTGATTCATTTATCAAACAACACTCATATGGTGTTTGTGTGTTGATACCACCTAACATACACCTATAACACACAAACACCACCCAAAACCCCCCAGCAAAAGTTGATAAGTTTACCTGATAAATATAAGGGTGAAAATATAAAAAAATTATAGTTCTAAAACAAGATAAATCTAAAATTTTGAAAAAATAAAAATTCGAAAAAGGTCAATAGTTTTTGAAATAATGAGTGTTGTTTGATAAAAGAACACCCTGTATATAGCTATCTATCTAAATAGCTATATCTATAAAAATGGATTTCTGTCTGTTTATCCTATATTTGAATGCTCTAAAATATATGCATAATGTATACATTTTTCCAATAATCACGCTTGGATGAATACTGAAATTGTAATTATATCAAATTTCAACAAAATCGGTCCACCAATTGGAATTGAAATGCATAAAGGATAAACAGACAGAAATTCATTTTTATTTATTTTTATTTTAATATCAATTTCCCATTAAAAATACTAATGCTTGTGATTTATTAATTTACTATTATACTACAGGTACACCTTTAGTTTTTCTTTACTTGAATTAGGCAACGATGTAGATAAAATAACTCTTAATGTGATACAATTTAAAACGATTATAAAACGAATTTCTCAAATTTGTTTTAACTATGATTTATGAATATTGAATTTGAATTGGTAAAATTATTCTAAAAACTTAATGTTTATTATTATAATACTTTAATGATATATAACATTGTTGGTTTTATTTTCTGGCACGTAAATAACCAGTTTTGTTGGTATTCTTACACGAAAAAATTTTAAATAAATGATTTATTTAATTTAATTTATTAATTTATTAAGTTTAATTTTTTATGGACAGATAGCGCCATATTACAATAATATTTTTTTTTTACGTGGCAGATGGCGCGCCCGTAATTTCATCATCACCACGTCACATTTCTCTAACATCGTAACTTTCTACATTTATTCTTTCATAAGATCTTTCTCCTGACAATAACGAATACAACAACAAAATAATTAGCGAAATCGGCCCAGTCGTTCTCAACGGAGTTGATGTAATGTGGAAKTATATAAGAAACTTTCTTACTGACAGAAAATTTCAAGTCAAAATTGCAAACTGTCTTTCAAACAACTTCACCCAAGAAAATGGAATTCCCCGTGGATCATCACAAGCTGTACGCTCTTCCTTCTATCAATTAACGACATTGTTAAAACAATAGAAACTCCTGTAACTGCAAACCTATTTTCTGATGATCTTAACATACTTTGTAGAAGCATCAAACTAAACACAGTATTACTGCTACCACAAAATAGTGCAAATAATATAACAGGTTGGTTAAACAAAACGGTCTTTAACATTTCCAGTCAAAAATCACAAAGCATCATATTCACAAAAAAAAAAAAGGAAACAAACGAAACTTCTAATAAAACTATATAACAACGTTATACCATATCAAAATAAAATAAAAATTCTAGGAGTTATATTCGACTCCAAATTAACTGGATCGCCCATTTAAAACACGTAAAAACTCTTATTACAAAAAAGTCAACATCATAAAAATCATCTCACACACATCATGGGGTGGTGAGACTTCTACACTATTAAAAATCTATTGAGCACTAATCAGATCTATAACCGACTACGGTTCAATAGTATTCAAGACAGCCTCCCCAAAACAAGACTAGCAATAGGAAGCCTTAAATCCAGCTCAATAGAGAGTCTAAGAAATGAAATATTGCTAACGAACCACCCCCAAACACAAGGAGAACACTCAATAGTATACTATATGCAGCCGGAATAATTAAAAATAAGAATAATCCAGCAAACAAATATTTTATCAACATAATACATGAAACAGAGAACCTACATATAAATATAAAGGAAATAGTACCAAGAGAACCACAAACAATGCAAATCAATACAAACACTGATGCAACAGAAAACAAAAAAATAACACAAACCCTAATACCTAAAAAAATCTTTTCCATGACATACTACAAAAATATCACGATAGAAAGCACATCTACACCGATGCATCCAAAACATTAGATAGCGTGAGGATAGCAATAATAGCAGAAAATATAACAATAACATATAAACTACCCACTGAATGCTCAATCTACACAGCCGAAGCACCGGCAATATAATATAATGCTGTGTTAATAAAGAAACAACACCAAACAACTACCTTGTAATCAGTGACTCACTCAGTAGCATCACAGGAATCCAAAACACAACAAACCCATCAGACATATCCAAAGTTATTCAAGAAAAAACTTACGAAGCACGCAACATGGAGATAGATATATGCTATGTATGGGTACCCAGACACTGCGACATACATGGCAACGAAAAAGTAGACTCAGCAGCGTCAAAAGCAGCCTCTTCCCCAGACACCCCATCTTTCATTATATACACATACAAAGACAAAAAGAAACAAACCAAACAAGTCCTAAACCATAAATGGCTCAAACTATGGACTAACCAGAACGCAAAAACGCAAAACTAAACCAAATAAAAAACAACAAACAAACATGGCATAACCCAGGAATAAATAGAAAAGAGAAAACTATAATAAATGGACTACGAATAGGGCACACATTTATAACACACATCTCATGGAAAAAAGACCCTCCCATATGTGAACTGTGTGGAGTGGACTTCACAGTCAAACATATCATCACCGAATGCCTAAAATACGATGATACAAGGAAAAAACACCACATATCACAACAAATCGGAGAAGCGCTTGGACCGGGCCCCAATCAATCATGAACATACTACAATTTATAAAAGAAATTCAGCTATATCACCTAATTTAAGCCATACCATAACATAAGTTAACCACCTTTGTAAACTAATTTCAATTAATGTCAAACAAATGGCCATAGAATCC